ACCTGGTTTCTGAGAGACGGTTGCTTATCTAATTGGTGCAACCTGAGGTGGTTTCAGTGTAATCTGACTTAAGCAACTGTTGGCTCCCGGCATCTCCTCCCTTTCCATTAAAAGAAGTTGAGGAACCTGAAAGTTGATAATTATTGACTCATAGAAGAATAGTGGGCATTAACCAGGGAGGGGAAGCATAGGCCTGATCCTCCTAGACATTTTTGTGTGTCCTTTTTGAGGAGGGGAGAAATTTAGGCTGCCTCTTCCATCCAGAGGCGCTGTTGGACACTAACCTCCATGCAAACAGGCTTACTTCTCAGGGAACTCAGAGACAGAATATATGGTCTTTCCCCTGCAGTCCTTTGCCTTGCACCTCATACCAGTACCCCTGTCTGTCTAGTGCAGACATACTTGGCTCTGAGTACCATGTAGCTCCCTCAGGAGGGGTTCTTCTGCAGGTTCCTCTAGACCTCGATCAAGCAGATCCAGTCGGTGATAATGGACTTGTAAGGGTTTTGATGCCAGGGAGTCAATTTGTTGTCGAATAAAGTGGGTAATTCTGCCCATAATGAAAGGCCCAAAGCTTACAAGAAGTAAGAGGCTAACTAAGGGACCCAACAACAGGAGTAAATAGGGCAGCATCCCACTCCAAGCACTCCAAATAGGGTTTTCAAAAAGTTCCTTGCGCCATCTCTCCTCTTGATGTTTCCGAATGCGATCACAAACAATTCCTCCTCTTGATGTTTCCGAATGCAATCACAAACAATTCCAGACATTAACATAGAAACAGCAATGTTCCTGTAGGGCCAAACAAATTCCTCCCTTGTCTGCAGTGAGCAAGTCTAACCCTTGCCTATTCTGAACCACTACTTCTGCTAGGGAGTCTATCTGATCTTGTAGATCCTTAAGGTCTATTATGATTTTAAAATATTTGGCGGGGATGGCTACGGGGGAGGGAAGCCCAGGTTGTAGGGCTCCCATGGGCACCATGGTTTTATTAATTCCTCTGAGGTCTTGTAAGAGCCTCCATTTGTTAGATTTTTTATGGATGACAAAGATAGGGGTGTTCCATGGGGAGTTAGTGGGCTCAAGACGCCCTGCAGCAAGTTGCTCCTGTACTAGCTCTGGAGCCGCAGACAGTTTCTTGGAAGTGAGAGGCCATTGATCAACCCACACTGGGGAATCTGACTTCCATGTTATTTTATCCGCAAGGGGTACAGGTATGTCAATAGCCACTAGGATAAATTTTTCATGCCTAAACCAGACCTATCAAGCTTTTCAGTGACAGCTATAGGATTCCTAATTCCTTGGTAGTGCTTACCCAGCCCCTGACCGGGAATGTATCCTTGCTTTAGCATTTGACTTGTAACAATTTCATTAGGGCTGCACATAGTAATATTCATTTGGGACAGAATATCTCTTCCCCAGAGGTTGATAGGTAATTCTGGGATAACAAATGGTTGGACAGTGCCAGAATTGCCTTCCTCGTCTGACCACTTAAGGACTCTGGTACTTAATTGGGGATTA